CTCCAACACGTGTCTAATTTACAAAATACATGTCTTAATTTGCAAGAAAAATTTTCTATATGTGCACCACATTGTTAACTTATACTACAAGCTATTAATACATGCAATATGTGATTAACTTATTGGCTAAGTTTTTAATCTATCAATCACATATAAACATGTATAAAGGTAAAACCACATCTATGAAGCTTTTAAAAAGCTTGTCTAGAAGTTATTATAAAATTAATCTACTTTTATTTATCCATATTATTTATATAATTATTAAAATAAATATGTATGTCCATAATATATACTTTTTTTTAGGAATAAGTTCCACAATAAGTAGTGATTACATGTTGATGAAGATTAAGATGTAAAAAATTATATTTGTCACATACTTTGAGTGTTGTTCGTTTTGAAGATAGTTGATAGATCTTCTTAGCCATTGATAATGTATTATTCTAAAGTAAGAAGACTACCCTATTATTTGATTGTTGTTGAGATATTTATAACTTTTTTCAAATAAAATATTTATTATACCATCAAAAGTCATTTCTATCTCTAATAAAATCACCAAACATTGGAAATTTATTCAAAGGTTGTGATATCAAATGCATTGTATCTTGCCATCTATTTGAAGAATGTCATTTATGAAGGTCTTCATTTTAATGACTTACTCTAATAAGTTTGGCAATGATTCAAAATATGTATTGACATAAAATATTTAATATTCTTGTAATTTTTATATATAATGACTAGACTATATTAAAGTTAAAAAAATACAAAAAATTCACAATAAAGGATAGAAGATAGAATTTAATATCTATTGAATATCCTTTGTTTTATAGTAAAGAATTGCTTGACACTTCATCTTAATTTCAATAGATAATATTGATGTAAAATTTTAATCTTCTCTCTTGTATTTTCAAGATTCTTTGCGAGCTCTCATGTATGTTCATTAATATTGTATCTATACTAATAAATGAGATATTCTAATATATTTTGGCATTGCCTTGAGTCTAAGACTTTTTCCACCTCAAATTCTTGATTATTATCTACTTTTATGAGAGACAATAGCATTTATCTTCTTCTTGAGATATTCACTCTATTATATGATTCAAAAAAAGATATATGAAATACAAGATGGATCTTCATAAACTTCAATAGATGTAATCAATAAGTAATTAGGTTGACTTTTTTACATATAAAAAATAGTCAAAATCTACAATAATCAAACTTATTATAATATGCACTCAAATTAATCTTTTGTCATTGTAGAGTTTCTTTTAGATGTGCCTTCATTTTTATATGTAGCTCAAATAAATAATTTATCAAATCTTTTATTTTAAGATTATTAACTTTTGAAAAGTCAAAAATATTAAGTTATAGATGATAATCATATTTAATAAAAAAATATTTATTGAGTAGAAAAATATATTATATTATTATAAGTAAATTCTATTAATGGTAAAAAATTATCAAATCATCTTATTGGTAGTTGATGGTACACTTCAAATATTACTCCAAAATTTAATTTACACATTTTATTTGTCTATCAATTTGAGAATAAAAAGCTAAAAATAGTTTTATATTTACTTTTAAAATTTTGAAAAGAATTCTTCAAAATCTTAATAAAAATTGAGTTTTTTTATCTAATATAATATCTTTAAATTATCCATGATAGTGATAGATGTTTAAAAAAAACTTAGTTATTTCTTCACCTATGATAGATTTTGTACATAGTATAAAATATACCATCTTAGTGAAATAATATACAATCACAAATATAGAATCATAGGAATTTGATATCAAAAAAATTATAATAAAATCCATAGAAATAAAAGACCACACTTATTCTAAAATAGATAATGGTTGAAGAAGTTCATAAGGTCAATGACAGGGAATTTTTAATCTTGAACAAATATCACATGATTATACAAAATCTTTGATTGCCTTCCATATTTGAGGCCACCAAAAATCTTTAGATATTAGTTTCAAAGTCTTATTGTAAGTATTATTTAAAGCCCTTTAAAATAGAATAGATTGTTTTGAATTCAAACTTGGAAATGTCATGAGATTTTATCGAATTTTCTTTAATATCATTAATAAGAGAATCAAAGGACATAATTGACTAAACTTGTTTAAAAAAATTAAATCAATAGTTAGTATTGATTTCATTGTTCAAAGATAAAATTTCTTTAGCTTTAAGAAAATTATCTATTATTGATTAAAAGTAACATTTGTTTCTTTTGATACAAGATAAGATCATTTAAAAAGAACACTTGACAACCTTTATTATTTTTTTGGCCAATAAGTAATTTCAAATTCAAATCTGGACAAAGACTTACTCTAATAAGTTTGGCAATGATTCAAAATATGTATTGACATAAAATATTTAATATTCTTGTAATTTTTATATATAATGACTAGACTAAAAGTGCTTTCTAGATAATGGCGGTATTCTTAAAATGAATCTACAATTATAAAAAGTTCTTTGTTATCGATCTTATAATTCATTTTGGCTATTGAAAATTTTCTTGAATAAAAAAATATCAAATAGAGTTTATCATTTGTTTCTATTTGTGATAATATGATATCCAAAATAATATCTAATGCATATATTTTTATATAAAATAGCTTGAAGAAGTTGATGCAATACAAGATTAACATAGAAACAAAGAATGTCTTCAAAGCTTCAAATGTTCTTTTTTACTTCTTGATTCCAATTAAATTTGTCTTTACAAGTCAAACATATAACTAGAGTTGTAACTTAAAATTTTATTTAAAGAAGATCCAAAAGTAATTAAAAAAGCTCAAAAAAAATTAAATATTTTTTATCATTTTTAAAATCTTTCAATCTGTAATAGATTGAATATTTTTAAGATCTATCACAAGTCCATCATTTGAAATGATGTATCCTAAGAAGTCAACTTAAGTAGTATAAAATACATATTTTTTTTTACCTTAGCATAGAGTCCTTCATCTTTTAATTTTTGTAATACACAACAAACATGAAATTTATGTTCTTCTATATTCTTAGAATAGATTAAGATGATGTGTAGATAACAAATTATAAAATTATATTAAAAAATCTTGAAAGACTATCATTTATTAGATGTTAAAAAATTATTAGTACATTTATAAGTCTAAAAGGCATGACATTGTATTCAAAATATCCATACCTAGTTCAAAATATAGTCTTCTATTTATCTCTTTCTTTGATACATACCAAATTGCATATTTGTTATAGATCTATTTTTATATAGATCTTAGCTTGATTCAATTAATTAAAAAGTCGAAATATTAAAAGTATAAGGTACCTATTCTTGATGATAAACTTATTGATTCCTTGATAATCAAGATACATTTGTAATAATCTATCTTTTTTCTTTACAAATAAGATTGGAGCTCTTGCTAAAGATTTTAAATGGTGTATAAAATTTTTTGTCACATTTTCTTCAATATACTCCTTAAATTCAGCTAGCTCATTTTGTGATAAATTGTAGATTGATTCAAATAGGAGTTGATTTCCCTCTTGAAAGTCAATTGAGTAGTCACAAGGATGAAGTTTCAAAAGAAAATTTACATTCTACTTTTTTAAAAAAACCTTTAAAATCTTGATATTGGTTTGAAATGTCACTTGAAATCTTTTCACTATTAGAAACATGTATGGCATAAATAACACAAGATGATCATTTTTTTATAAGATGATTTATTTTTTTAGCTTAAAATAATATATATATATATATATATATATATACACATACACATCTATTATTGAATGAAACACTAATATTTATAATAATATTATTTAAAGTTTCTAATTACATTATAAATATATTTTCCACAAGTTCTTCTAAGATGTTATTTTTATTTTTATCATTTCTATAAAAGCATTCTTTTTGTTTAATATATTTTTTAATTTTTTTTTTTTTTGAAACCTCTGTCGAAATATCTACTATCCATTTGAATTGCAATTGATAATATTGATTTGTGGTTGTAATTGAAATTCTCAAACAATGTGTATACATATATGTATATATGTGCACATTCACTTGTACTGCAGAACAATCTAAACCATCATTCTTACATAGGAAAATTTACCATTCATCTGGAATCAAAATTATGCTAATCATACAATCATTCATTTAAAGCTACATAGAGTCAGATATTTATAAATGAAGATGAATGCTTTTGATTTTTATGTGTAACTGAAAGTGTTTTCACTATAACCAATAGACTTAGTTAATTTTTTTTTTTTTCAATATAAAACATTTTCTTGAAAATTTTGATTAATAGGAATTAATTATTAATTCTGTATTAGGATGTTAATACATGATGCATGTATATTTTTAACAGACTAGAAAAAAAAAAAAAAAAAAAAAAAAAAAAAAACGGGATCGAAATCTTATTCTCGTTAAAAAAAAACGTAAATCGATTTAATTATTTCTAAAAGTAACAATGATCAGAATCATGTCCAATCAGAATGTGAAAAACAAAAAAAAAACAAAACAAAACAAAACAAAACAAATTCATATATGTTTCAAGTGAATCTTCATACTAGATTGTAATATATTTTTTGATTACGCAAAAGTCAGTGTTACCAACTGTATTTATAACTTCAAGCATGAATTTCAGGCAAATAAGTTAATTGCCCTGCTCGGAAGAGTTAATTACCCTGCTAACAAAGTCTCAGTCCAAGAACGGGAATCTAAATTACAAATTTAAAGGCTACTGCACTAATTAATGTCAATAGAAGTAGGTTTCATGTTTGTCTATAAATGAAAGCCTTTTACAGCACCTACTTCTGAAGCAGAAAAACCTGGATATTACAGTTTGTGTAATCAAGTCCACAGCGTAGTCCCCTCAACATTGTATCAAACACGCAAACTGTAAATTAAAGTCTGGCAAATTATTAAAGAAATGTCTCATGGAAATTTATAGCCGTTCGCAGGGCGACAGTGGACGAACAGATATGCTGCAGAAATTCAATAGCAGACACCGCATTAAAATCTGGCACATAAGAAATGATTTAGCAACTTCTTTAGTCCATATGTGTGCAGGACACTCAGCAACAAGTTGAAGACAGAGTTCCATCTTAGTATTAGTAAATTGCATTTGGGTAGTTATACTATACAGTGCATCCTCCGAAGAAGGTCGCGTCAAGTGAGGCATTTACAGAAGGCCGTCAGAAAAGCTCAACGCCTACTCGTCTAGTTCAAATACAGCTTTGATGCATCAAGCTTCACTGCGAAGTCATTCGTCATTGCGTAGGGGAATATTCGTGTATAGATGATTCATCTTGATATGGTTGATTACTGGATCGGGAGTCAAATACTTCACCGACAAGCCCCTGGACAAATTTCGCCTGCATTAGACATCGTTGGGTGTTAGTACCCGAGTTGGACAACAAACAAGACATGGACAAAAATCTTCGAGTCTTTGAAAACTAGTGATTATTTTCCAGTCATGAGAATATCTACAGATGGGACAAGCATGAGGTTTTACACTATATAGTGCGGCAATTATGTTTATGCACAGACGTACATGAATGCTATAATTTATGCTCGATGAAGAACCGAAAATAAAGCCATGCTAGGGGTTCAGGAATACCTGATTGCAGTTGCACTTATACTGTTTTGAATGACCTCATCCACCACCAAAATCTGTCTCTACGAATTGACGCACAAAATAAAGAGATATAAGCAACTTCAACGAATGTCACTTCGAGAATTTTGTATTAATATAATAAAAAGCCCAGACACCTTAGTCTATAAAACCACAATTCACAAAAAAAATTATGAACCAGAGAGCCAGCTTTCTGGTGACACACATCGGTAAAACTCCTAAATTTCATCTCTTCTAAGCAAAGAAACACATGCCTTGTAAAAAAAAAAGTTGGTGAAGGTGATCGCTGACGTCACTTACTCGATTATTGTACAGTATCTCATGTTCAAACACAAGACGTCGTGCATCTTTGCTATCTTGATTTACACATACAATTCCATACTCTTGCAACAGAGTTCGCACCTGCAGGTAAATGAAATATATTACATCTTGTTCACATACCAGGAAGACTTTGAAAGCAAAGTTTAAAAAACACATCATTATAGGAGATGACTAACTCAAAGATCACTAACATTAGCAGTGCAGAATTTTACGAATGAACATGGCCGAGTCACTCCACCTTACATATGGCTTGTGAGAGGATTAAGAGGAACGACTTTAGACATATGAATAAGATCTGACCTGGTCCGGAATCCACACGCCAGGAGTTGTAAAGGACTCAAGAAAATCACATCCACAGAGTAGCATCACTTTTACTTTTTCTGCAAAACTATCCCCGTGTCATTTAGCAGCAGGATCAACAGAAGTTTCACATGCCGCAAACACGTCTACTACAGAGCACACGCTGTAACTGTAAACGAACTAGTTTACAAACAAGTTTACTTAAGAGGAACAAACAGAGAACTTACCATCAGCAGCACAATTATTAAAATTGACCACCGTATCAATCCGTGCCATCACAGTAAGCGTTCTTTGGAATGTATTCTGCTTAGCCTACTTCAACCAATCCAACCCTGCAAATTAGCTTCAGGCTCTAGTTAAGGCGAACATCAAAGATATATTCGTCAAACCAGCAGAAAGTACAGTGCAGAATGTACCTCCCAAGAGTCGACCATTATGAAAGGTGAATCAGCAACTGCCAATTCGCACATCCTGATACGATGCTCTGCAGGAGCAAGACCCTTTGACATTTTCACATGTGTAAACATCAGCATCAAGACACAACTGAGTTGCACCATAACAGAAGCTTCTAAATCGAGACTGACGCTCGATAAGTGAAAAAAATTGCATCAAGACCATCCGCAACTTATCTCTGACACACTATTGACAACACGAGAAATCTCAAATGATTTACTTTTTACAATGTTTCGCGAAGAAATTAGATTATCTGATAAGGACGGAGTGGTACCTTCTTCTGGTATAGATCATTGACGGGAGACATATAGCCCCCTAGCACATGGTAACCCTCTGCTATAAGTGCGTCCCTTCCCAACTCTGTAATGGTTTGTGAAAAGCATATCGTAAGTTTTTCTCCTCAATTGCGACATGACATATATGCACAAGCGGAAACATTCTGCATCTAATACTTTGTTTCTGAGTGCAGAACACAGTCAGAAAATCCAAAAAAATGAAACAGTGGATGGACTAACCAAACATGCGAAGGTGCATATATGTTGGTGGATTGAAGCTGCCAGGAGCCAGGATAACAACCCGCCGCCTTTTGCTACAGAAGAAATATACATTTACATGTATGAAGTCACACTGAATCAGTGCATATTGATGAGGAAGCAGATATACTGGAAGGTATAATTCGTGGCGTCAGAAAAGAAATTGCATAACTGCTAACCTAGCTGCAAAATCTAGATGGGGACTTCAATAGTCTAGTCAATTCAGCGTAATAAACCTCGTAGACGTGTTCTCAAACAAAAGTAAGACTTACTGATTTGCAGCATCGATGAGATTTGCAAGCTTCTCCACAGGAAGTGGAACATCCACCACCCCTGCATTCATCAACAAAAATACTAAGGTGCAACTTCAGGCATTGTACTTGCAAAGATCTCCAACTTTCACATATACAAAAATATTCAGACCCTTTACTTCTCATACATATGTCCGCATGTCACACTGATGCCTACTGAACCCTTCATAAGCTAAACTAAGTGACGAAGCCAGATATTACGACTATTATTTGAAACCTTGTCCATCACAAAATAAACCCATTTCAAAGAAAATCTAAGCAATTAAAAGTCGTAAGGCACCTGGAGCGGGAGGAGGACGGGGGAGACCAGGCGCTGGAAGCAGACTAGGGGCAGGTGCTTGTGCGGGAGATCGGCTACGAGGGCCATGGCGGTCGCCCATAAATTCAGCCATTGCGTCAAAAAGCTGCATCCTAAATGTGGCCGGAAGCTCCTTAGCCTTGGTCTTCTCCTTCTTCAAGCTCTCGTCCAAATCCCAGTAACTCGGGCGCCCCATTTTTTTGTTATTATTCCAGTCAGCAATCTGCTTAAACGCGGTCGAAAGGTTCGACCACTTGCGTTCGATTTCCTTGGGTTGCCTATCCACACCCGAAGCTAGCAGTAGCGTCCTCACTTCCTGCCATTTATCGTTCGCAGACTTGAAAACTTGCTTCACTTTCTTTCCATTCCCGGCTGCCGAAGTGAGCTTCATGTGAACCTCTCGGAAGGCTCTCACAAGAGCGTCCATTTCAGCATCCTGCCAGATTTCGGCCCGTCGCTTCCTCGCCATCCCTTCGCCTTCCTTGTCGGGTCTGTCCTCTTCATCCTCCCCAACTCCTGTTCCGCCGCCATTACTCCCCCCAATATCCCCTTCGTCTAAATTACCCTCGCGACCCTCCCGCCCATACGTAGCGCCGAAGTTGTGGTTGTGACCTTCTGTTTGATCCAAGTCCAAAATGGAGCTGGAGAGAGTGCCTTCAAGTACTGCAGGAGTGGGAGGAGCATCCTCTTCCATGTCTTCTACTTGCATTGCACCACGCTCATGCTAAATGGTACAGCAGCCTGGATGACTAATTGACCTAATAATACTCCCTGCAAGTGAACTCCAAACCCTTCCCTAAAAACGCTCACCCAACAATTGTCTCCCCTAGTACGACCTTAAGCAAGTAACCATCCAAGCAAAATCTCTTTTTGGAACTACAGAAAACCTAACAGTATTCCACACAGACACCAGTACACCTTGACGTAGGATTTCATAAACATGCTGAACATTGCGGAACCAAAGATCCCCACCTGACCACACACACACACACCGACTTAGGTTTCATCAAGGGTACTACCGTTTCCTGTCGAATCGCTGCATACCCCAAAGACAAATTAACAGAATTTTAAACGCTGTTACGTTGCAAGCGGTCGAGACTGCAACTGACGTGGTTCGGCCGGGTCTTGTGAAGGACCATGAGATGAGTGTACACAAGGGAGCCCCGATTTTGCTGAGAACTCGGAACAATTGGACATGGTAGAAGCCTGGACGTGAGAGTATCTTTCGCTACACTGACATAATTTAAATAGTGGATTAGCATTAAATCGGTGTAAAAGAACCATGTTTTTGAAATTTTAGAATTTTATTTCCCTTCGTAATCGAGGCTATAGTTGTCGGAGGATCAAATCTTCGACAATTTCCAGCATGATGATTCGTGATTCTCTATTCCATGACAACTTCGTAATCTTCCTTTCTCATTGCGGGTGTTCTAGAATATAGTCGGCTTTTAATTGCAGGCATTATATTATAAAAATGTATAGCATTATGTGTATTATAACAACGTGCGAACCTGCAAAAGACTCCAAAATTAAAAACGATTGAGTTCGTCCTAATTCTGAATACAAGAACAGGAGTGTAACATTCTGAGAATCCTTCATCTGTATACAAATCAAATGGTGCAGGGTTGAAGCTCTGCAATTTTCAGGGTCAAATCTGACTCATCAGGATTAAACACTACACGACGGAAATCTGAAAAGGGGAAACTGTTGGCTTCGAAACAAATTAATGACTCTGTCTTATTGTACAAAACCTGCAGATTAGTTAGTGTTGATGAACCTCCGTTCCGTAAGTGCTCCCAAGAGCAACCACACTACCACCTGCAAGAGGATTCAATTCCAAAGTTTATCGAATTATAGACAAGAAGATGCGAGATTCACCAACCACCAAACGATGCGAAGTCAAGGCGGCTATAATGAACATGTGGGTATAACTCATCATGCATGCGGAGAATACCATTGGTCCAACTCTGCCATGTTGCCAATGTTTGTTCCATGATCATAATAGAAGACACAAATGTGAGTGACAGCTGATCATCTCATTGGCTCTTATTCAAGATTCTACGCCTTAATTTTTGCAATGTTGAGCTAAGTTGGACTCCTAACTTACTGAGATTTTGAGCAGCTTAATTTACTTGTTTTCCATCTTGAACTCTCTCTTGGTATGTGTCAAATCTTTTTCTCGCACTTTGTCCTGCTTTGGCTTGCTCTCTTCGTTTCCTCTCCTGCACCAGTTGCTCAAGTGAGGAAACTGTCGTAGGCGCAACTATGCACCACTCGTGCCCAGACAGAAGAATACGAGATACTGACGTTAGTAATTTCAACAGAAAAGAGCCATCATATCTGAAAGGTGCATCAATAATTCAGACCCAAAATGAAAGCAAACATGATGCAAGTTGTGCGCTGTTTTTCGAGGAGATTGACATTATCAGCCTATGTGAAGACTAAGTTTCATTAAAGCTCCCATGTAGGAGTACAAGAATATTGGAATTAACCACTCAACATGATAAGGGAAAACCTCCACTTAGACCAAAAACATAAGAGTAAGAAGGCGAACCAGATTAGCCAGAAGATCTCTGTATCTTTCGTGTTATTCTTCACGCAAAAGGCCGTTCCAAGCCTGAGCTGCTTGCTCTTGTCATCCAGCAATTGAAGACTTACCCTGCTTTTCTGTACGATTCGACCTCAACCAAAGATACAGGTATACCTGCTTGACAATTGCAACAAGATTTCGCGTCAACTAAAGACCTCGTTCCAGCCGCACATGGCCTGAACAACATAAGAAACTCATGAGAACCAAATGAACAAAAATTGAAGAGATATTTCTCGTATCCTGAAATTGATATTCTAAAAGCCCTGAAGTCTTTAATTGACGCGAAATCTGATTCATTTACGCATTCATTCATGACACACTTAAGCACACCTAAAAAGCTCAAAAGCCCCCAGCCATCCAAATACATGCTAACTGCAATATATACGAGACTACACCTTCCCTGTGAGAGCATGAAACGTAGTGTCATCACCCTCCAAATAAGCGTTGCACCATCCGGCCCCTCTACTTCAACAATGTGCTCCCCATCTCTAATTCATCCGAACAATGATCTGTCGTCTACAGGTCTCGGCTTATTGACAGGGATGCTAGCGGAAATGGGTTTTAGAACGAAACTGAGGGGATTCAAAGCACAGACCCAGAACCCCTTTCTACAATATTCTCTTGCACGTCTGATTGCACATCTGCATTGCCACTAGCAGAGATACGAATGCTCTCCTCGGACTCGGACATTGCATTCGTGTTCCTGGCCACTATGACTTGCATTGCAGGGGTTCAGGTCCGCCTCGTGAACTCCAAATTGTAAGAGCGACAAGGCTCTTTCATGCCGGTGAAATTCCCAAAAGATGCTAGATTCTGTAGGTCGATCTCATTTTCTACAATGGCTGTCACTTGAGAGACCTCTACTTGACTTAATTTCAATTTACACCCCCAACACTCCTGTTCAGAGCATTTACGCCATTAAATTCTTCGCATGTATGTACAGATACACGACAAAATCTCCACCTCCATAAGCGCAAGAGACCCTCAAATGTCTGCCATCCTAATATCAGATCCTAAATGTCATTTGAACATTCATTAACTACAACGAGAACGGCATCTCCTGCAAGGCAAGGTTAATCAGCAACCACGTTCATAAATGCGGTGGAAGCATCAAGTCTATCTCGCTACTCAAAGACAGTTTCAATTGCAAGAGTGGAAACAAGAGCACGCGAAACTCACCAAATAGCGCACAGACTGAACGGGAGGAGGCGTGGGCCATGAAGAGTAAGACGTGCCACAGACAAAAAACGATGATCGGAATTAAGGAAGATAGATTAGTGAACTACCAAGCACAGACTGCGCGCAGGAGGATGCGTAACATTGTAGATACCTCATCCTGGCTGTAGAATCTCATTCTCTTGTATCTCAAGCCGTCTGCTTCTGTCTCCTCTTTTGCTCAGTAGTGGAAGAATCCAGCAGGATTTCAGGCCATGTCGATGGAGAACCGACCTCATCTCTCAACCGAATGGAGCTTCATCTGAAATCAGAACCAAGAACCAAGAAACCACAGCCCACAACAAGATTGTCTGAAAAGTGATGGATATGGGTTAATTTTTCTCGGAGACTTCTTTTACCTCCATCTTCTTTTTCTTTACATGCGGATGTATGCATTTTTCACAAGATTACATGATGTAACATGCACCACGATTACTGAGATAAGTCGGAACTGTAGTATGTTGTTGTTTGTTACAAATTTCTGGGGGCTCCGTAGAAATAGATACACAAAATTCGAATCCATCCCGTTTGTATTCGTTACATTTTGGCAGATATGTGTCGGTTAGGGGTTTTTTTTTTACAATGTGTGAAAGGTCGGTCACATATGAAAAGAACACTAAATTGCTACGTGAATGTGATAATCTGGCGGTAGAGTAATCCTGCTGTAACTGCCACTAGACCCATATTTTCTTTAGCGTGGTGTGGGTGGCACGCTTGGTTCTCCGCGTGGCCCTTTTTCCCAGGCATATCCAAATCACACCTCGCGCCCATGCCGGTAGTATGTGGTCCTCTGGAGGATGTACGTGACCTCCTTCACTTCACCTCTTTCTGATACGAAGCATTTGCTATTCAAGTCACGTGGATTCTGCATTGGAGTTGGGTTTCATTCTTCTGGGACACATTTGTTGAGAGGCATGTTCGATAACTCCTATATTCTGTCGTCCTTATCCAGTGTTAGCTGTGAAATTGCGGTGGAGAAGAGAGGAGCTTTGAATTGTGTTGTGACGGATTAGGGTTATTGCAGCTTATTGGCAGGGTTTGGTTCTGTGAACTTTGAGGGAATGGCTTTGAAGTGTAGAGTTCTCTGGGCATTCTATGCACCGAAAGCGTGAGTAAATTGTGGCCTTGAATTTTTGTACGTGTTGGAATCATGCCTTGAAAGCTAAATGAGGTTTTGTCGCTTTGAATGCTGCAATTGCAGTTCGCATCCACGCATTGCCTTCATGAACGAGACTTCTGGAGTACAGCATTGTGTCCCTTGAGCTTTGTGTGCAGCTATGGCCATGGCGATGGCACTCTCAGCACCGGGACTGCACTTTTCTGCTGCCTGTGTGTTGGTATTCTCCTCTGTTCCCTCATGTGATTTTTCAAGGATGAAAAGAAACTTGGGTTTATTATATTTCTGTGATCATTGGTGGCAGCTGTACCGCTCTATGAAATTTTTGTTGTCTCCTGCTGTATAATTTTACAGTAAACTGCAACCTGTATAGAGTGAGTAATAACCTTGCATATTTTACTTGCAGAGAATTAGCCTCTTCTTCATCTCAATCCTTTAGAAATTTCTTATTTTGACATTCCTAGAAAGTCCAGGTTATGAAGAGTACTGAAATGTTCGTTGCGTTTTCACTACAGAATCCAGCTAGTGGAAGGGTGCAGCTGAGGAAAACATTCTCGAGGATTGTTCTACTGCCGTCAAACAGTCGAGTCAGCTGCAGTGTTGGGGCTGAGGCCCAAGTGCAAACCATCTGGAGCTGGGCACAATCACATGGAATCCAGGGCGAAGCTGTCAAACCTGCGGAGGTATCTGAGGGGCTCGGTTTAATTGCTCAACGGCCGGTGAATGCTGGAGACGAAATCCTGAATGTTCCAGAGTCCGTCTGGATCAATCTCGCTGCAGTGCAGAATTCTAGCCTGGGGAAGGCCTGTGAGGGTTTAAAGCCTTGGGTAGCAGTTGCATTGTTTCTTATACATGAATCGTCGAATCCAAGCTCCAAATGGCGACCCTACCTGGACAGTCTTCCAAAGTCCTTAGACTCGCCGCTCTTCTGGTCCGACGAGGAGTTAGCAGAATTAGTAGGAACCCAACTGCTTGGATCTGTCACTGGCTATCTGGAGTTTCTCGAGAACGAATATAACAATCTGGTGGAGGAAGTCTTGGAACCGAATAACAAGATTTTTAATCCTGCGGTTTACACCTTCGATGGTTTCAAATGGGCTTTTGGCATCCTGAGGTCTCGAACATTTTCTCCTTTAACTGGTGAAGACATTGCCCTAGTTCCAATTGCCGACCTGGTGAACCATGGAAAAGGTCTTGGCGATGGATCCCCAAGCTGGGTGAGAAAGGGAACTAGCCAATTCTGGAATATAGGGAAAGGTAGCAGCGATTTGCTTACCGTGCGAGCTTCGGCAAATTTCAGTGCCGGAGAGCAGGTATTGATGCAGTATGGAGCAACCAAGAGCAATGCAGACCTAGCATTAGATTATGGTTTCGTTGAGCGAGACAGAGGATCGCAGTTTTCTCCAGGAATTGAGCGAGACTCCTTGGCACTGAGTCTAGAAATATCCCCGGATGACCGGTTTGTGGATGACAAGGCTGACATATTGGAGATCAACGGATTCCAATGCAGTATGCAATTTGATTTGTCGCGAGGGCAAGGTCCCTCGGATGAGATGATCACTTTCTTACGTCTCTCAGCTCTGTCTGGACCCGATTCTTTCCTTCTAGAAGCGCTGTTCCGCAACGAAGCATGGGGCCATGTGTCGTTGCCTGTGAGCCGTGACAACGAGGAAGCACTCTGCACGTCCATGCTGGAGGGCTTGAAAGCGGCACTGGATGGGTATAGCACCACCGTAGAGCAGGATATGGAGCTTTTAGCTCGAGGGGATCTGAGCACGAGAATGGAAATAGCTGTCGTAGTGAGATTAGGGGAGAAGAGAGTGATGCAGGAACTGCAAACATGGTTTGAGGCCCGTTTAGAGGAATTAGACACTCTAGAGTATTATGCTGAGCGTAGGCTCAGAAACCTTGGCCTTATGGACGAAGGTGGCTATATGACTCCTTGGGTGTTCAATGAGTAGATGTTGTATGAATACACTTCATTATTGTACTCCAGCTGGAAATGTACATCAACCTCACATAGCGTTGCAATGTGGGATGCTGAGAAAGCAGAATGTGTAAATTGATGAATGTTTTGATGCAGGACTCGATCAGACGGCATTTTTCTTTAGAATTCGTCAACTTCAGGACTGTGTTGGATTCTCAACATGGGTATGCTTTGTATCCTTCTTTCATGCAGCTAGCTGCCTTTTAGATGTTGAGAAGCTGCTGCTACCCAGCTTTGAGTAGCGATTTCAAACTGAAACGCACCAGGGAACACATAGTTTCCACAGATCAGCAACCACTGTGACCCATAGCCACCCTCAGTTAAGCTTGTGTATTTCCAACCCTTCAGGTTTGATTCAGATTTGTTATCTCAGGCTTAGTATTGATGGTCACCCTTGGAAATATTTATCTCACACAATGTGTGTTGTATCTTCATATCAATACAGATTAGTTTCTGGAGGTAACGCTGCAAAGCTGTGGTGAGAGAAGAGTTGTATGGGCTTCATCACTTCTCTGAGGATGTAAACTAAAATTCCAATACTAGGGATTGCAAATTGATCTTATATTTTTATTTTACTTTTATTTTTTCATTGCTTAAAAGAAACACCATACCACGTTTGTGCTACTACAAATGGTGGTCTTACACATCCGATTTATAATTTGTTATACTTGTCAAGTTAAGAAAAACATAGGATTTTTGTATTAAATGCATATTTGAAAATATGTAATATGATAATCAATCTGCCTAAAGTAAATCTCCAATAAAACATTCTAAAACACTTTGTTAGAATGTAATTTATTTATGTATTTATTTATTTTCTTTCATATCAAGTTTGTATTGTACATTTTAGCACCTTAGCATTTGTAATTCATTCAAACATTTTCGTATTTTCAATGAAAATAGTTATACCCTTCCAAAGTCTAAAAGCATTATTTGTATAAGACAACTTTAGAAACTTTTTGTTCATATTATATTTAAAACAAACTACTTAATGTTTGTTATTTGAATTAATTAGAATGAAATTGTTCTCTTTAATTCTAATTCTCTCTATGTTGACCATCACAATAGTGATATTAATAGTTTTTTTTTTGCCTCTTTTTACTATGAAATTTAGAATTTCATTATTGATAATAGAATGCTTGTTAATTTTAGAGAAAAAATATTTAAAATTGCTCAAGCACAAAATTACATCCATTATTTAACCTCGTCTTCTTTGTTTAGATTGTGTTATATTTTCTACTTATATTTTAAATTTTATAATATTTTAAATATTTTAAAAAGATAATGGTATTTACATACCTAAAATCCATATTGCATATAATGCTTTAAGTATTGTTTAGTATTAAGATAGCCAAAGCAGTAATAAGAAAAAAAATTAAAACATTTTGATTAGACAAAGTTTAAATAAAAGCTTTTCTAAATGTAAAAATCTGCAATTTTTTTTTATAACCACCAGATTCTTATTTTTTATTCTTTTATCATGTGCTTATTTAAACCATAAAATTTTAGATAGATAGATATACAATGATTTCTTTTAGTAATTTTTAACACTACTTCTTAATTTTTTCTAAAAACTATGTATTAAGAGAGACCTAACAAAAGATTTGGAAAACAATACTATTCATTTTGCATAGAAAAAGAGCATCTTGTTTCATTTTTTCACTTAGGGCCTTTGGACTAATTTTTTAAGTATATGGTCAACTAAGTGAGGTTACTTAATTTTAATCAATCAAAGGATTCAAAAGTTATGGCCTCTCACTATGTCACTCCATTAGATAGAGTCTAATTTGAAAATATTATCAATTTCTTTTTATAAACATCTAATTACTCTACAATAATTTCTTCAAGCAATAGATTACAATACCTCTAATTAATGGCAATTAAAAAAAATAAAGAAAGAAAGAAAATTGTCCTACCATGTGATACAAGTACAAATATGCATGAATTTTGTACGATACATTTGCTATTTAATGCACAGCCATATTATTCATTACATGAAAGAAAACGAAAAACATAAATCAGTTTTGCACTGGCATCCAGTGATGGTTCCAATTAGTTTTGCAAGGCTCTATGCAATACCATTTCAGTACCTCTTTTATGTCTAATTCTGACTCTACTATAACGAAACATGCAGCGCAATGCTTCACAACTCTATTCCAGTTCAACACTAAAATTCTTTCAGGTTTGTTAGTTCATGTCCATCTGCAAACTCAAGCTTAATTGTAACCAAACACATCAAGCAGTTCACACTCAGAATCACAACATCACAATGCATTATTTTTAACAAAGTAATTGCTCCAATTAGAACATATCATTGGAATCTGGAAGTCGGCAAGATGGGTTTGTTTTGTTTGAGAAAAAGGTAAACATTGCGTTACATACATCAAAGAACTGCACAGCCCACAATCAGAAAAAGATTGATGTCGGTGTATGAGAAATGAAACAGATTGGTCGTGTTTTGATGAAAGTTAATCAACAGTTGCTTCACAGTGTTGACGAGACCTTTCTCAACGAGATGATGTTGTGTGTGATTTTTTTATTTATCAATGCCTTCGGTGTTTGAAACAGGAGCTCAAGTGCTTTGAACGTTCGCCAACTGATACACCAACATCAACATGTAGAAGCTGTTAACACGGTTGAGAAATGGCATGATATTCACTACCCACGTCGAGGATGAGCAGAAACCGCACCGACATGTATGCGAGGAATCGATAACCTGTAAAAAATCAGCATGTCTCTACACTGCAGTTGTGTGCACAATTTGCACATCACGAGTGGGAAGGGATTTTTTCCGTTCTAAAAATCTGCTGAATTTTAACAAATCTAAGGTTGGCGTTACATCCTCCCTGTTGGCATTATTGACATTCAATACAGTGATTATGTCACATGAATCTAAAACTAAGAAAGCTTTTGGAAAAGAATCAAGTTCTTCAGCTGAACGATGAACAGAAAAAATATCACTAGTTAGACAAGTGCTCTCATGTGAGTTCTCTGGAGATTATTACGGCATGGAAGTGAAGCAGGAAATTGTGAGGAGAGCACACAATGTTGCAGGTTTCTGTCTCCCAGAAGCAGGTCTCCCCAATAATAAAACAAAAACAAAAAAATATATACTTTTGCTTGTTATTTTTTTAAATGACAAAGTGACAAAATAGATCCCGACTTCCTGCTTGTTCCAGGCTCAACTTTCAGCTGCAATGTACCTTTCGAAGAGGTCATTACAATAGTCACCCCATGCAAACTGTGTAGACCAGTGCTACTGTTCCAATATTAGATCAATGTTTGTGCACAAATTTTCCTGCTGCAGCTTTCAGATCCACAATGTAAAGCCCATGTGTACTAATCTACACGTGCAAGGCTTAGCCTCTGGAAACAAAACAAACACCAAGTTATTGATATCATCTCCCTTTATTGTTGATGATAAACCAGGTTTAGTGCTGGAAATGTGGTTTGGTTATGGAAGCACTGGAATCAAAAACCTTGAGGAAACTAGAAAGATCATTGTCTCACAACTATTGTTATTGCTCCCACTGCAGGGTATCTGTGCACACTTCAAAGAAGTACACAAAATATTTATATATATATATATATATATATAAAGATATATGCATAAGAGAGAAAGATAGAAAGTTATTCTGTTGAGTGAATACAAAAAGACTAGTGTGTGATGTTAAGCCATGACAGCATGCAATATACCACTTTTTGTCTGTCTTGTGCTGCCATTCTTATCCTGTGTTTTACCTTTTTTGCTGCCGATTATTGATGCAGTTCAAACTGGTAGTTGATCCAAAAAGTTGTGAAATAAACCTACAAATCAAGTGAATGGATTTAAACTCTCTACTGGGTTGTTTCAAGACTTGGGACACAAATTCAATAGAAAAATTAGCTGATTAGTGCAGGATGTTTTTAGGCCCCCTTGTGTGATTCAGCTATCTACACTCAAACCCTCTTCACTCTTTACAAATACATCCAAAGTGGGTTTGTGAAGAGCGCCCTATATTATGTGTTCCTCTAGAGCAACATGCACAACATTCCACCATTCTGTATTTTTATATGTTACAAGAAAAAGGTGGAATATGGGTTTGGCCTAAAGTAGAATCCCTTTTTCTCTTGCTTTGTGCACCCTTTTGATTTTGAGAAAATGTGGAGGGTATCTACCACAAGAAGAAAAAATTATTAGAAAGGGGGGGGGGGGGGTAAACATCAAGACCTTTTGATGTGCCCACGTGCCCCCCCCCCTCCACAATCTTTGCCCCACAATAATTCATAGTCTCTCTTCCTCCAAACAAATCAATATATATATATATATATATATATATATCCAATTGTAACACTGTGTTGTGCTCATCCAATTTACATGATTTGGGGAGAAAAATAGACAAGGTATGCTTGTTGCCATTCCCTTCACATCACCCATCGAGAGGGGCTCTCTACTCATTATTGGTTCCTTATAAGGTTTAGAAATCATTCTCTCCCCTCTTGGCTACTACTACTACCACAAGGTTGTTGTTGTTTTTATTGGGCAAAAATGCAGTAGCTGCAGTGTAATATGAGTAAATATAAATAAATAAATAAACAGTTCCATTTGTGTCATGATCTTTCCATTGCTGCAAAGTTGGTAGAAGCTGGCCAATGTGGGGTACAAGCCTAATCTTGTCAATGGATCAAGACATTCAACAAATCCACATCATTGTTTATTGATTTTAAGTTTATTTTTGTGTTTTGTGTGTGTGTGTGTGTGTTTTTTTTTTTTTTTTTTTTTGACTAAATCTTGCTTTCTTTTTCACCTCCTCATCATGGTGTTATCATTCAACTTTTGAATACTTTCAGTATTGTTGACAGTCAATCTTAAACTCATGTTGTTTGCAGCAAATAACCATCCCCAAAATAAACCCAAAAATTGAATGTATATTCAAATAAATAATTATAATGACTAAAGTAAATTTTTATGTGAAAATTTTCCATAGAGGGTAGAAGAAGATTTCTTTTTAAAGAATGCATAGAGTTGATGAAGTTTCTTTTACAAGATGGTGTTGGGAATGAGAACCAGCAATGCTTACCTTCAGAAGTAACTAATGCAACACT